CGAGATTGACGCCAAATTAAGATACATGTATCAGGGGTGATGTGACGAATAACTGAAATGACTTTTATAAACATTGGGTTGGCCTGACTACCTAAGTCAAACAGGAAATCAGTGATGACGTACACGGGGAAAACGAACAGCCACGTGATCATGTCTTCAAAACCGGTTTGCGTTGGTTCGCGGCAGTCTAATTACATCATAATTTTTCATCGTGGAGTTCGAACACTCGATCGGCATACAACGAGGGGAATATTGAGTTAATACTACATCTGAGTAATCAGCAACTTCAGATTTCTTCCCAACTTTAAAACCTGAAGCAACAATCGCCTTTTCTTCAAGAATGGGTAAGCCCCAAAGTTGAATTTTATATTTTGCTGAGTTTGCTTTTATTGAAATGACAAACCGATCTCGCTCCCGAATATTAAATTCCTTTGAAATTTTGCTGCTGTTTGGTCCAGATATCTTTTGCTACTTTGTAGTGTTCACTAAACTTTTCTTTGTACAGGTTAGAAAAGCAGCCATAATCGCAAAAAATCATGGAAACATGAAGAACCACATCGTTATAAAGGTAGACACCTTTAAGTTTTGTTACCTGCCATCGATCGACTCTGCATGTAAAAAGCACCTTTAAATTAGCAGAATTGCTAAATTTGAGAATTATATCTTGAATACGAATCGAAGATATACCGTAAAAGCTCTGTCTAGCCCCCTCTCTAATAAGCCCCCCCCCCCCCCTCCCTTCTTGGGGTCTGAAATAAAATAAGCCCCCCGTTGGCTTAATAGAGCTTTTACGGTAGCTCGTAAAATTCGGTGTCGATCGATAAATAACTTACGTTGTGATTTATAATTTACATGCAAAGCCCAATGAACCATACGTGACTTCATTTTTAGTTCACTTTCATTTGCTCTGTTAATTTCGTCTTATAAAATAAACAAATTCACCCCTTGCATTCTTTACTTTTATATATAAACTTAAGCTTATACGCGAGTACCGTAAATTTAATTTAATTAAGTAAATTTAATTTTTTAGGGCCTAGATGAAAATTGCATTTTGTAATTCTGGTTACCCTGCTTAAATAAAGTGATTTATTATTTATTATAATCACCGTCTTGCAACTGAGCAACAGGAGACTCATGGGAGCTATTTTTATTGTTAATAATCTCCTCATTTTTTCCTTCTCAGAAAATCCTTCGAGTTCTGTTGTTACTATCGTGGTTACAATCTGTGGTGGGAGGATGTTCACTGATAAGAAATATAGTACGCTACGACGTCAAACACCCAGAAGTGATCGAGGAATGTGTACCATGTCCAGACTGTCCTGAAGGTCATGGATTGTCACCACAGTGTGGTTCACGGATTCCAAAACATTTCAAAATAGAGTGTAAACGATGCTTGGTGAACGAGACATATTCAAACAACCATGGCATAGAAAGCTGTAAGCCATGCCAGGAATGCCATTTGAAGAATGTGATTCAGCATTGTACTGTAAGCCAAAATCGCATTTGTGGCATAAAATGTCCGCAATTTAGTTTCCTTGATGATAACAATGTCTGCCAAGAATGCTACTTTTGCTGCGGCAATGTCAGTGAAGCTTACAGACGTCAAGGATGCAAAGACATTGGAATGAACAGGAACTTACAGTGTGAGAATACACCCCAAAATCAGCGCTGCAAGAGGGCTTTAATGTGGAAAAAGCTACAATTACAATTAACCCGTTCAGACACAAAACCCACTGTCTCTCATGATCGTAATCAGTCTAATCATGGTACTATGGCCGAAAAACAGGCTACTAGCATACCACATCACACCAGCCAGAAGCTAATTACTGGATCACAATATCCAGCCATGTTACCTGTAAATGACAATAATAACACAAGTGTCTTATCAACTAAAAAAGAGAAGGGGCAAAAAGAAAATGGAACTACATTTTTAGGAGTTGTATTGGGAGTAGTTGCCATTGTCATTGTAGTACTGGCCCTAGCTGCAGTTTTATTCTCAAATTGGAAAAGGTGCAAGTCTCCAAGGACAGAACCAGAATTAGGTGAGATTTAAAACTGACATACCGTAAAAGCTCTATTTAGCTCCCCCCCCCCCCCCCCCCCTCCTTTGGAAGTCAGATTTTGTAATAAGCCCCCACCCCCTCTCATCAATATTTTCTGGCGTTTCAGTCACTTTGTATTGAAACATGGTCCTTAATTTCCAAGAACTATCATTGAGTTAGGGTATAAATGACATTGCATTTGTAAGACCGTGATACATGACCCATTTCTTGTTCTGTTTTAGTTTGAAAAATTAATGTGAATTTTCTTGAAAATTTATGATTTTAAATAAGCCTCCCAGTCTAATAAGCCCCTCCACCTTGAGGTCTGAAATTAAATAAGCCCCCCAGGGGCTTAAACTAGAGCTTTTACGGCTAAGTTGGATAGTTTTTTTTAATTGCCAAATTGCCACTAGTTTTGAAAGTCTTCTCAGAGTTCATACTTAAATGCCAATTTTGTTTGTAGATAGTACTGAATTGTCACCACTGCAACCTATCCGACATGAACCTGAGGATTCAGACAGATCAACTTCAAATTCTCAAGGTATTTTTTTAATCAAAGCAATATTGCACACAGTCAAATGTAAAAACATTTTACCAGGGGTTAATATGTGGCATCACTATTTTCATACAACTAGTACTTATTAATTAAGTGTTGTCACAAGTAAACAAAGGAAAACAAAATGGAAAAGTTTGTGGTTTCTGAAAATTCATACGAGGTGGATATTTTGGGGTGGGGCCAAGACCTCCCTTTTCATCTGGGAAATTTTTTTTGTAAACATCTGTCAAAATGGTATTTGCAATCCAAGTTTAAATTTTGTACTGTATCAATAAATAAAATCCTGTTACAATTTGTTATTTCAAGCCACAAATGCTCCCAGAAATGTAGGAAATAGCAGATTGTTACATTCATTCATTCTAACTTTATCTTTTTCAGACAAGCTAACAAATGCAGTGCCGGCCAAGGAAGTTGGCACACCAAATCCAGCAGACATTCCTGCAGGTAAAGTAGGTTTTGTGATATCCAGAATCAAGCAATAGTCTGAGTCTTGGCCTTTTGCTGATAACACTTTAGTCTCTTAGAGTCAGCCATCTTTCCATCCTATCAAAGCCACTTCTGACTAACATGCACTTTGATGATAGTTTATGGATATCACAATAACCTCATACAGTGTACACATATATAGGGGCTCTCTGCAATCAAACCCTCAGTGTGCATGGACTCGCATCAGTTAGGCAAATTATTTTACTTCACTTTTAAGTAATAATTAAACTATTGAAATAGTTAATATTAATACTTCCTGTTGCCTGTTATGTGTCAAATCAATTCCAGCAATGCTCATCCTCCACCCACCCCCCCCCCCCCCCCCCCCCCCCGGGCATTAGCATTATATTAAAAATGGCAAATTCCCCACGGTGGGGACAAGCAATACAATACCATGTTTGAGTTGGCCGAAGCCATGTAGCTGTCAAATTCCCTCCTGCCACCAAATCAAACTCGCTTACTTTTAAATTATTCTAAATTTGCTAAATAATAAATTACTGTTATAAAATTATACATACACTGTATTTGCTTCAATTTATTGTTGCCAGTAAATTCAGTTAATATGTCTGTGCACAATGAGTAATTTCTCAGTTATTTCAATTATTGAAATGTTGATTACTGCGGTAATTAAGCAAAAACATATTTTTTTTCTCTTATGGACATTCAGATCGCCTGGTCTCCGATATGGAATTGTTGTACGATGATAAAGGCAAAGTGATGTTCCAACATGTTCAAGACATGCTTGATGCAGTCGAGACTTCCACCAGAAGAACATGGCGCAGCGTTGGACGAGCTTTCGAAGTTAGTTCTGTTCAATTGGACTTGATAGAAACTGCTTACATAGCACGAAGAAGTCCTACAGAAAGTCTTCTGGAAATATTGAAAACCTCCCTGGCAAAGGAACCTACAATGAGGGAGTTTGTTAAAGCTCTAATTAATTGCAATAGGAATGATGTGGCAAACTACATCTGCAACTGGTCGTCGTGGGAGATAGCCGAGGACCAACCTAGAATATGATTCATCAGACAGCCTGAGATAATCAAGGTCATTGAACTTGGCTTAATAATTATAACCTAGTATGTACATGTATACTATGACATGCACTATATCCTTGGTAGAAAGTTTGATGGTGAATCAACTTAAAGAATTTGGAATATGTAGAACTCCCAGATAAAAAAAGAAGCCCAGAAATAGAGAGGCTTCAATAGGAGACATATGTATATATGAAAGCTCAAACCCATTCCAGGCCCTGGGATGTCTGGGATAGTGTTGCAAATGCTCTTCTGCATAGTATGAGGATGCAATAGAAAAATCACATCATTGTGACTCAGCAGACAATGAAAGTGTAGTAACTTCAGTAGTTGTAGAGAAAGCCCAGAAAAAAATGTGAGGCTTAATGGGATTCTAACCCATACTATTTAACAATTATTCCACAAAATCGAGTTGTACATTAACTCATAGCCAACGAGGCGTAGCCGAGTTGGCTATGAGTTCATGTACGACGAGATTGAGTGGAATAATTGTTTTATAATATACTCACCACAGGATATTGCAATTAAAAATTACTGGGGAAAGAACGGAATGAAAAAAAAAAAGGAAAAATGGGATATTTATTGTTTTGAAAAACATAAACTCGTAATAAGCGGGCTTCCCAAATAAGGTAGTAATGGTACATTGCCTCATATGCCTTGAGTAGGGAACCAATCAGATTGTCCAAAATTGCAATATCCTGTGGTGAGTATATTATAATGTGGTATGTTCATACCACTCATGGGAGCAGATCTATAAAAGATCTGTAGCGGGCTTTACAGTCTTGTACCCCCAAAAATAAGAATGTGATAGATGCATATGAAAATAAATCATATGCGATTTAGGGGATCGAATTACAGACAGACAGTGCCCAGATAATAAATCTGAGGCTTCAATGGGATTCATACCCATTACCTTTGCGATACCAGTACGTCAATGCTCTACCACTGAGCTATGAAGCCATTGGGAGCAATGGCAGGTACTGTTGGTACCCATAATTAAATTGATTATGCATATGATAATTTATATGAAATAATCATTTATGTGTATTATGGACAAACAGCAAATTGAAGAGAGTTATATTTGCTGTTGCTTAGCAACCAAAACAGTTTGCAAACAAGGCCTAGAGAAATATTTGAGGCTTTGATGGGATTCAAACCCATGACCCTAGCCTGCGAACGCAGACGTATTAACGGCTCGCGTTTCCCCGCCGAAAATATCATATTTTCAGCATTCGCAGGCTACCATGACCCTTGCTATGCTTGGGCATACCAGGTCAACAGTCAGTGAGTTGCATCAGTTCACACAGTGAGGATGCAGACAAACTGAAAACAAAGCGATATTTGTAGTTTTGAACTACTGAGGCTTAAACTCATGACAGTGTTCTCAGTTGAACACACAACACTTGCAAGGGATGTCACTTAACGAGTGTTACAACTGTGCAAAATAACACAAGTAAAAAGGCATATTGGCTATGTGCTGACCTTTTTACCGCTATGTATACTGAAATGCAGTGGTTGATGAAAACGTTTCAAAGAACCCTGCATGAACTTTGCAATACTGATGAAATGTGTTCTACCACTGAGCTATGAAGCTCTGGAGGGAGGCCGAACCAAAGTACTTGCAAAGAAGCCCAGAAAATAATCTGAATTTTGTTCGAATTACTCGACTTATAAATTCATGATTATATCACACATGTACATTTTACGCAGTACAACTGATTAACTGTACATGGTTTTCTTGCACAATTTTTTCACAGCTGCTAAATATTCACCTTTGTAAATATAAGCTAATGTAAATGTAGGGATTTTATTTTTTCTTTCAATAACAGTACCGTAAGACTCTCAGATGAGCCGCACCTTGAGTTTAGGAGCTCAAATTTTGGAAAAAAAGTTTGAAGAAATAAAACAAAGAAAGACTTCATTTATATGGAAATTGAAGAAACCTTTTCAGATGTTCTTGCAGATAAACCACACCCCCAATTTGTAACAAAAATGTCATGAAACAAAGTGCAGCTTATCAGATAATTTTTACAGTACTTTCTGACTTTTAAGTCAAAAAGTGACAAACATGTGACAAAAAAGTGACAAACATGTAATACAGTTGTATGACATTTGAAACCAGCCGTAGATTTTCGGTTGAAACGTCTGGAGTTAGTTTTTATGAACATAATTTGTACATAACGTTCAGTACATTAGTCAGCCCTTGTTGGGGGGGGGTGGGGGGGGGGGGAAGGGAGTGTAACACAGTTTTGATTTGTCCATACCTGACTGAAATTTCAGTATTTTTTTTTTACTAGACAGTTTGGTGTAAAATAATTTTTTAAATAAGATGCAAAGTTCAATGCACATTAATTTTTAGTCTCCACCCCAGAGAACTATTTTGTAATGCTCAGTACATGCAGCTGTCTTATATTTTTCATTGTATTTTCAATGTTTTTCTGTACTGTATTGTATATTATTAGCATTACCAATTAATGCCAAGAAATTACGCGAATGCTGTAAACTAATGAATGGATATAGTTTTCTTGGTACATGTAACTGTATTGTTTGTAAATGAGAATAAAGCTTCATGTCCTAAGTGCTCTCGATACATTTCTAATACATACTAGAATGAGAATGTGTTACTAATATCATTCAAGACTATATCTGAATGATTTCTCTACATGAATTCAGGGCTAAAAATTAACTCCAGCGCTTGGTGGCCAGTCGGGCCAGTTTCCTTGAATTCTTAGTGGCCCAGGCCAAAATAAAGTGGCCCTTATTTTCCTCAAGTTGATTTAAAAAACATATTTACTTGAATAAACGGTTTAATGCTGCTGCCTCTTTACAAAGGGAGCAAAACATCACATTATCTTGGACAACAAACCATGGCCTTGTTACCCTTGTCCAGCGGTGGAGCGGCCAACAAGGAGCTCTGGAGGGAAGCGATCCATCATGACAGGATTCTTGGACTTCCGGCTCTACTGCGCATGTGTTCGACCCCATGTTTCAACTAACGGACGCCAAGATTATTGGACTTCCGGTCTTACTGCGCAAGTCATTTGTATGACCCAAGCACATAGAATAGCGTGACTAGCCCTTTACTGCTATGACAAAGCAATTTATTTAAACTAGTACTTAGTAATCACAAATATTTAAGAGAGTGCGTTCGACAGGTTTATTTCAAACAGAGGATGGTTCTCAAGTGGTCACGAACGAACTTAGAACGTTTGCTTTCTGCTGATCAATATGAAATCTGTTGGCTTTGGCAATATGATTGGCTTGATATATTCTTTTTATTGAGAATTGTGCCAAGGAAGTATAATTTTGAAATGGTGGAATAATATTCCTGAATATATTTAAGTTGAGTTAACCATTTGTCAATTGCAAGTGCCCCCTCCCCCCTTTCAGTCTGTTTGCTTTCCTTCATGTGGTTGAAAGCTAATTGACAGTGATGGCTGGGAGATAGCCAATAAATAACACTAATGAATACATTAAAGGCACACATTGCAACAGTAACATTTATTGAAATTTATTGAAAATAATTCAAAACGGTATTTAAACAATGGTGCATTATACATAATATTTAAAATTTGATAGGTTGTACTTTGCTTGAAAATAAGTCTCTAACAGATTGGAAAAACAGGAACTTTAGCAACTTGAATAACACAGTACATTAAGAAATAACAGTATGATTTGTTGATAATATACAAAATACGTATACACCTTCCACTTTTTTCCATTGTTCAGGGCTTGAAAGATAGAAGTGATTTCCATTTATACATGTTTGTACCCTCTACTTATGGATTTTTACTTACATCTTAACACTGATCTAAAGCTTGAGAACAGGAGTGTAGGGCGTTACTAAACACAGGAACGGAACGGAATGTACCGGAATGACCCGGAATGTACCGGAACAAACCGGAATGGTACCGGAATGAACTGGAATGACACGGAATGATACCGGAATGACACGGAATGATACCGGAATGATACCGGAATGATACCGGAATGAACCGGAATGAACCGGAATGTATCGGAATGACCCGGAATGAACCGGAATGAACCGGAATGATACCGGAATGACACCGGAATGACCCGGAATGACACTGGAATGACACTGGAAAGCCCCGGAATGACATTGGAATGACCCGAAATGTACTGGAATGGTACCGGAATGACCCGTAATGAAAGGGAATGACACCGATATTTCATTCATGGCGGAGAGACAGGGTGATCCTCTCTTGATGGCGGACACTAGATGGGGGCTGGGAAATTGCAAAAGGAAATCCAAACTTCTTCACTTTTCCACCCCATACCCCCTCGCGCCCTCCACCCCACCCTCATCTCCCTCAAAAATATAAAAATATAATAGTCTATATCGTGGGAGGCTCCAAAGCAAGTCGGGAAATCTCGAAAGAGAAGAAAAAAAGAAATAGAGTAATAAAAACTAAAAACAAGAAAATAAATAAAGCATATGGGGTGATTGGGGCTGGGGCGCAGTTGAATTATACCTCACCCCCCACCGTAGTCATGTGTATTAATAATTGGTTTATTTTGCTCGATCTGTTGCGCATTGCTGGTTTTCTCGCTTCCGTGCGTGCATCTTTCGAATAAAAAACTTGAGAAAAAGATGAAAAGGTTCAAATTGAAATTCAAGAAGTATGATTTGCCAGTACATACAATAACCTGTGATCAGGCAATTATTTTCACGCTCTCATTTACTCTTCGTCTTTTACGTGGTCACGCTCAATTTTTAGCGCGAAAAATTGGCCTGATCGCAGGTTATTCATACAATGTACTTTTCGACGAGGTCTATTGTTTGGAATCATTCATTTCGTGGCATGTTACGCTTTCTTTACTAAGGGAATAGTATCTCAATCGAAAATTATAACAAATACAAGGTGGTTGATAATTCAAGAGCATTTTTTTAGATTTTCAGTGTTCATCGATATTGGGGTCTCATTCCATAGATTTCGCTCCCATTCTGGGTTATTCCGTCATCTTTCTTTGTTGTTATGGGTCATTCTGGTATCATACCGTTTCATTCCGGTACATTCCGGGTCATTCCGGTTCATTCCGGTTCATTCCGGTATCATTCCGGTATCATTCCGGTTCACTCCGGTATCATTCCGGTATCATTCCGTGTCATTCCGGTTCATTCCAGTTCGTTCCGGGTCATTCCGGTACATTCCGTTCCGTTCCTGTGTTTAGTAACGCCCGTGTGTGCACGACCCATAGTTAATATTAAATATATATTTGCTTGCTCTAATTTCTCTCTGGTCGAATTGGTCCAATTCGGTCTTTAATCTTGATTATACATAGCCTGAATCGACAGAGGAGATCGACGGCTGAAATTCTGGCTAGATTTGGCTATTGCATTAAATATCCGTACCCCCCCTGTTGAGGACTTGTCTTTTATTAGGTAGACCCCTCAAGAATTCCTAGAATCAGTTCACCCCTCAAGAATTCCTAGTAAAAGCAGTTCACCCCTCAAGAATTCCTGAAAAATCAGTTCACCCCTCAAGAATTCCTAGAAAAAGCAGTTCACCCCTCAAGAATTCCTTTAAAAAGCAGTTCACCCCTCAAGAATTCCTTGAAAAATCAGTTCACCCCCTCAAGAATTCCTTGAAAAATCAGTTCACCTCAAGAATTCCTAGAAAAATTCCTTCCTTCCCCCACCCTAACCCCCTAAGAATTCCTTTGTTCTGCCAGCATAACCCTGAAGAATTCCGCTGTTCCTCAACAGGGGGGGTGCGGATATTAAATGCAAATGTATACAACTTGGTAAGCTTATATTTTGAACCGAGCTGCTATGTTCATTTGCCATCGCCGAGCAAAACAACTCGATTTATAACTACAAATCACGGTCATATCGCTCAATAATAAGCTGATATCTAGTACAATAACTCGGTTTGTGTTTTATTTGCTTCGGTACACAACAGCGTGCCGATAATTTCTTCAGGCGAGGGCATGAGTAT